GTAAGTTTTTTGTAGATGCTCTTTATCAGTCTGTGGAAATTTTCTTTTATTTTGAGCTTGCTAACAGTTTTTATGAGGAATGGGTGTCAGACTTTTGTCAAATGCTTTTCCTGTATCTATCGAGCTGATCATATGGTTTATCCTTCATAGTTTCTAACATGCTGAATTTCAGTAATCAGTTATTGAGTGTGAAACCAACCCTGAATTCCTGAGATAAACCCCTTCATCATTATGTATTATACATTTTGTTTACTGTTGGATTCAGCTTGCTAAATATAAAGAATTTTTGCATGTGTTCATAAAGAATATTGGTCTGTAGTTTTCTATTCTTGTAATGTTTTTGTTTGGATTTGGTATCAAGGCAATGTTACAGTCAATGATTTGAGAAGTATTCCCTTCTCTTTAGATTTCTGTAAAAATTTGTGTAGAATTGGTATTATTTATTCCTAAAATATTTAGTAGAATTCACCAGTAAAGAAATATGAGACTGGAGTTGTCTTTGTGAGAGTTTTCTCGTGATAAGATTTTAACTACAAATGCAATTTCTTTAAATAGATATAAGGCTATTCAGGTTATCTATTTCTCTTTTTTAGTAAGTTTTGATAGCTTATGTCTTTTGAGGAATTTTTCCAAGCCTTAGTCCACTTTGTGCTGCTATAACAGAATACCACAAAGTTGGTAATTTATAAATAACACAGATTTATTCTCTCACAGTTCTGGAGACTTGGAAGTTCAAGATCAATGTACCAGCATCTGATGAGGGTTTTATTACTGCATTCTCACATGGCAGGAGGTAGAAGGGCAAATAGGGGATAAACCCTGTGTCTCCACATGGCAGAAGAGCAAAAGAAAGAGAACCCACTCCCACAAGCCCTTTTCATAGCGGCATTAATCCATTCATGAGGGCAGAGCCCTTATGACCTAAACATCTCCAAAAGGCCCCACTTCTCAACGCTGTTGAATTTAAGTTTCCAACACATAAATTTTGGAAGTGACACATTCAAACCATAGCAGTCCATTTCACCTAAGTTGTCAACTTACAGACATTAAAATTTTCTTATTACTTATTTATTATCCTTTTAATATCTTTGGAGTTTGTGGTGGGTCACTTCTCTCATTCTCCATAGTGGTAACTTGTGTCTTCTCTCTTTTTTCCTTATTTCCCTATAACTTCTTATAATGTGAAAGACTCTGGACTTGCTGAGGAGCCCATCTCTGAACTGCAGTCTTTGGCTTGGCATAAACCATACCCAGGTTTCTTAACCAGGTTCCTTGGGTTCCTTATGGTGTACATAAATATGAAGTTCATGCCCTGAAATTGAATCAAACTTTGAGTGTGAGGTGAGGGCCATAGTTTCATCAGAGTCTTAACCAAGGCCTAACAATATTGAGAACTGTTGCTTTTTGGAGGCCAATTGCTCCCAAATACACACTCATGGGCCAGTGCCCTATTGCTTAAAGAGTATTTTTGATACATAGGTTGCTGGACCCTGCCGCTAGAGTTTCTGATTCATTAGGTTTGGGGTGAGGCCAGGAAATCTATATTTTTAACCAGCTTCTCAGTGATTCTGACAGGCCAGGACTGAAAGCAGCTTGGAACAGATGACCTTTTAAAGCTACTGTCTGTGATCACAGGACTAGGAGTATTTAGTGGGCAGGTGCTGCCCTCTAGCGCCTCCGGCTGCCATCTAGCAATACTCACTACACTTCTGCATAGTTTAGGAACCTGCTGTGTGAACTATGGTGGTCTTGTTGTCTGACACTACTCTGGGTCTTCATGTCAAACTCTCTGGAAATTTTAGCTCTTGGTCATTAACAAAGATACCCATGTATAAAAGTTTTGTGGCTCAATGGCAGCAAAAAATGCATCTCTGTCCCCAGCACCTTGGTACATCTTAGGTGTTTACTAGTATTTTCTGAGTATGAGACACAATGAAAGTCCTTAATAAGGCTTGTATGGAGGGACAAGACTCACATCAGTAGCATGTCTGTCAGGATTTTTCTTTACAAGGCTATATGACCTATAGTACTACTGAATTGGTAGCCATAAACACTTTCCTGAAGAGATTCCATTACAATAATTGTGGCATTATAATGGAAGCAGGGTCTGGCTTAAGCAAGTTTTCTAGAAACAAACGAATAAGAATCCTTTATAATCGAATTGGTAGCCATAAACACTTTCCTGAAGAGATTCCATTACAATAATTGTGGCATTATAATGGAAGCAGGGTCTGGCTTAAGCAAGTTTTCTAGAAACAAACGAATAAGAATCCTTTATAATTATGAAGTCCTCTGAAGTCCACAGAGGCTTTTCACGTACTTCGTCTCTCTTTTCTGTTCACTCTAAATTATAAGGCAGGAAAAGCAAATATGATCATCCATATGCACATCATTAAAAATGACAAACTTAGCTGTGTTCATTACATGAATGTGCCCTTGTAATGATGGAAGACAATGTGCCCTTGGAAGACAATGATCCCACTGTCCTATTCACAAGCACCCTCTGTCAATGAGAACCAAATCAGTATTAAAGGCCTACTCTGCAAAAAGGCATAAAACCATTTTTTTGGCTCAGCACGAGGCTCTAGCTTCTCAGCTCTGAGACAGAGGAGCATGGGTTGGGCGAGTTGCTGAAGAGGAGTTTGCAGTAGATGGTTTTAATGGCTTGGCAGGATGACAGTGGCTGTGGGTTATCTGTGAGGTAAATAGTACATTGGTTGTAGCAGGCCCAAGGTTTGCAGAATGTGGTTATTTTGCCTGGAGCAAGATGCCAGGGTAACTGGAGACTGAGCACTGTTGCAGCAGCATAGAGGGCAGCGGCTGCTGCAGGAAGCAGGAGCTGGTTAGGTAGGAATAGCAAATGTAATGGAAGATTAAAGGTACTTTATAGGTATGTTGACCTCCTACTAAAAATGTGATGCAAGCTACTTTTAAAACTGATTTTTGTTAACCTGTCATTTGATGGTCTTTGGTTAAAAAAGTCTTCTCATTTCTGTATTATGAAATTTGCAAGCTCAAGAAAAATGTTGAAATGGCTCAAATTCATCACATCTTCCAGTGGACTCTTCTGAAATTATATTTGATGTAAGGATCTATTTTGTTTTTGTAGATATAAGAAGGACACTTAAGAAAAACATTCAAGAATCCATTTCTCTGTCAAGTCATTTTCATAATATTATTCCTTATACATAGTAAAAAAACCTCTCGTGCTAATGATTGTTCTTTTGGTTGTTTGTTTTTTGATTCTGGTAAGATATACTTAACATAAAATTTACCACTTTAATCATTTTGAACTGTACAATTAATTCAGTGGCATTAAGTACATTCACAATGTTGTGTAAGCATTACCACTATTCATTTCCAGAACTTATTTATCATCCTAAACAGAAACTCTATATCCATTAAACAATAACTCCCTATTTCCCCCTTCCACAGCCCTTGGTAAGGCTGGCTCTTGTTTCATGTGATTTAGTCTTGTCTTTGAAACTAGATTTTTAAGTTTCTTGAGTGAAGGAAGGCAATACAACTCAAATGTCTTTGTACCCTTGACACTATCTGACTTAGGGTTGAGCACATATTGAATGCTTACCACTCCTATTTGGAACAGGACTGAATGCTGGAGAAAGAACCAAATAGCCCTTTCAGAGATTTAGAGCCTAATGCCACTCTTAATAGGGCAAGAACTTCTCAAGGAAATTCGGAAATCCTAGGGTGCTGAAGGCATACCATAATGCCACCAGGGGCTATGAATCAGTGGACATGAGTGGTAGGTACTCAGGTTGAATGGGAAAAAACGCTGCTCTGCCTGAAGGTGTTCAAATTTCATAAAACACTCTTTCAGTCACACATTCCAACCATGACGGACTCAACCAAAGAGCCACAAGTTTGTGGCCCTTAATAAAAAATCTTGGCAATAACCCACTTCCACAAATAGACTAGATGCTATAAGATCTGTAAAGGCAATTCTTGAAAATCAAGCCTTGGACAAAACTCCAGAAGTGAGCCTCATTCACATGCCTCCATGGAAGGTAATACTTACAATGTCTTCCTACCCGTCTCAAGCTGGACCACATAGACTGGGAGGAGTCCTTTAACTCTCAGAAAGAGGAATACTGCATGTCCTCACTCATAGGTAGGAGCTGAGGCAGGGAGGGAGGGAAGGGAGGGAGGGAGGGAGGGAGGGAGGGTATTTAAAATAATTCCTTGAACTCTCAAAAGGAGAAAACTGAGGACACCAGAGGTGGGAAAGGGGGTGGGGGAGGAGGGGTTAGGAAGAAATTGGTAAAGGGCTACAAAAAATGTTTACATTGTGTAATGATAAAATAAAAAAACGAAAATGAGAATCTCTGAAGAAAAGTGAAAAAAAAAAAGTTATTTTAAAGGACAGCAGCTTTGTCCTTTTCTTGACACATCACACAGTCCTCTTCCTAAACCTCTTGATATTAACCACCCATCATTTTCTGTGACATCAAAAAAAATCTGTTTCCAAGACTTAACAATATGATGCCTGCCCTATCCTCTTGTGTGTGTGTTTTTTTTAAGCTATCTTCCCAGTAAAGATGATATAGTTCATGGAGTCCCTCTGACCTAGCCACTATCTCTCTTACAGGGCACGCAGTGTACATAAAGATTTAGTTATCTGGGGATAGGTTCCAGATTATTGTAGTAATGGAGAGAGCTGAGTCGCTAGGGTATAGGGAATAGAGACAGCATGGAAGTATTTATGCTGCCTGTGACCTTGGCACTTTCTGTCCCAGGCTCTGCAGCCCATACAGGCACAGATGCTCTTATCTGAACATTGAATCACCACATGAGCTTCTCTAAGACAGATAAAAGTCTGTGATGCTGTCCCTGCCTCCCAGAACAGGAGGCCTTTATGATGCCGTCAGTTGGTCTGGATTCATCTTCTGTGAGGCAGAGATGACAAGGTCTAGAATCTGGAGGCGTTAGGTTCCAAGACTCTGGAAGCCTGGATAGAGATGGCTAGTGAGGTTTAGACCATGTTCAGTCCTACCTTCTTTCTGTGGGATGTTGGATATCCCTTATACACCTATGGCTCCATCTGCATTATTGCGTTAATTATTTGGCAAGTGAGAAAGAGCCATGAAAAATTAAGGTTGGGACCAAACAGGAGCCATTGCCAGGTAGGGAAACACTATGACCATGACTGAATTGATAAGCCTCAAACAAGATTTCATCCCCTCACTTTCTCCTGTTACCCTAACCTTTTGCTTTTTCTAAAAATGAGATTTTCATCACTGGATCCCAGAACAGCTCCCCAATTTGATTATTCTGGTTAGGGCCCACTCAGGGTCTTTGGTGACTGAAGTCCAGTGGCTACTAGAATCACCCATCCTTCGTGATCTGTTTTACTTTTCCTTCTGTCTCATCCTGAACTCCCCACAGGGCTTGTCCAGGGAATGGGGGTGGCAGGTAGAGTATGGAAGAGCCTCAAAGTGAGTCAGAAATAAGCAGAGAAGGGAAATGTTAGGGTGAAAAAGAGTATGAAAAGGAAAGGTAGAAAAGAATATAAAATGGGAATACACAAAAAACACTTGGAAATGTTTATGAGTTTTGTTTCATTTTAGAAAATGAAAAGAAAATGGTGTCCTAACTTCACATTCTAATGTTTTTGTCTTTAAGAATCACCGAAGACTCAAACAAAGGTCTAGAGACAGAACTTCAAAAGGTAAAGTCCCAGCCTTTCCTCTGATTTCCTTCCACTCTGGGCGAGGCTGCCATGGATCCTGTTCCTCTATGACCCCTAGTGCCAGGAGCCAGGTGCTCTAACCACTGAAGGCTCCAGTATCCAATGACAATATCCAGTACCCAATGATGCTTCTCACAGAAGACTTCCTTGGGTAGGAAATCAGAGCCTAGGAACATTCTGAAATTCTCTATTTTACCCTCCTGAGAGTGAAGAATGAGAAACTAGGGCAGAAGGCCTTAACTATGTCATTTACAAGTTTTACAACTCTTTGGAAGTCATTTCATCACCCAGTCTACTTCTCCATAAAATGGGCATAACACTGATGATCCTGCCTCACTCACAGTGTGGTTGTGAAGATCAAACATGTAAATCATTACGTTGGACACAGATGTTACTTAGAACAATACCTCTTGGTATTTTCAGTCTCCTCTCATTCAAAGGCCTTCTGCTTCCTATAGGATGTCCCTGAATTCTCTCCTATTCCATGTAACACTGTCTCCTGGTTCCTCAGCTAAGAGAACTTCCCAGGAAGAAGCTAAGAAGCTGCAGAAGCTGCTCTCTGCCATGAAAAGGTGATCTCTTGGTTTTTGCATTCTCCCAACTCTCAGCCTGGCCTGTGATGATTTCTCAGCTTGGCCTGGGGCAGGGATGAGGAGAGGGATAACGGATGGGAGGGAGACATACACAGTGGGTGCTGGCTCACTGGTTCAGGGGGTTGCCAGAGCAGGGGGTGGGGGGATGGGTTAGACATCTCAGGAGGGAAGAGTTCCCTAATTCTACTCTATGCTAGAGTCACAGTAGTTCTGGAATTCAGGATTTGACTAGAGCATAATTTATAAAAGACTCTATACGGGGTTGCTCTCAGCTGTGAGACAAGTAATCCAGTCAAGAGAGTGGATTTTGCATAAAGAAGACATCATTGTCATATTCCCTTTACAGCCAGACCCCTTCAAGCGCAGACTCCTCTGAGTCTGGCTGGACCCTGCTGACATTACCTCCTCTGGTTCTGTCTTCAGGGAGGCCAGTTCCCGGGACAGACCTCAGACAGGAGCCTATCATACTGTACTCTTCTTATGATTTCTGGAGAATGGGATTGATTCCCAAGAGATGTTGGGTACAGCAGCAGGGAAATCCCATAGTCCTCTCAATGGAGAGTTCCCACAGGACCTCATGCTTCACAGTTTAGATGTACTCAATACCAGGCTTCAGGTTTCTTAGCCTCAGATGATCTGAGTTCTACCTGGTGATGTTCCCAGTGATGCCCCATCAGCTAACCGCTTGGCTCCCTTATCTGCCTGGTTCCTTTCTCCTCATTCAGCTTCATGACAAGGTCAACAGAGAAGTGACCCCAGCTCCCAGTCCTCACTGACAGCCATGCCTTTCCATGGGTTGTCTGAGACCTTGCCCAACAAGCTCCAGATCCTCAGCCACCCACCATACCTTGCCAAATGGCATTTTCTTAGGAAGAAAAGCAGAGGGGTAGGACACCAAAGAAGTGTAGGTCCCAGGACTTACAAGACTAGAAAAAACCAGTGTCAATCCCCAGGCTACACGCTTCCAAGGAGGCAGATGTCACTCCATCATTAACAGTTGCCATGTTTCCCTTCCCAGCCAGGGCTGGCTTCCTCAGGAGGGAAGTGTGCGGTGGCTCCTGTGTGCAGATCCCTGCTGCCAAACCTGCAATGCTGTGGCTCTGGAGATTCAGCAATTGCTGGTGGGTGAGAACAATGAAATCTCCCCCACTTTACTGGGGCCATTGCAGGGCTCCTTTTGCATAGAGATTTCATCCATGTCTAGTGTGTCTTTTGAGGAGAGTCTGGAGCTTCATTCCCAGGACCCCAGAGAGCTTTCACTGGCATCTGTAACCCCAACACTAACACAATTAATGGATCAGAAATCCTTAACCCAGCCAGCTGCCCAGTCAACCAGTACAGTAAATGTCCAAGATTGCTGGGCTAATTACCTCCAGTTAGGGCAGGAATTTCAAGTGCCATATGTGTCCCAGGATGTGAGAACTCTGTCTTCTTCAAGCCTTGAGGAGTCTGGGATTCCTGTGAACCAGCAGAAGAGGAGGAAGAACAACTCCAAATCTGTCGTGGAGAACCAAGGTTAGCAGCCCTTGAATACCAGATTCCCTACAACCTTGCATTCCTTTCAAGTGCTGATCCTATATCCAACAGGCCCTGAGGTACCTTTAAGTACAAGGATATAAATGCATGCATTTCCACACTTGAGGGCTCACAAGATCTGTGGAGGAGTTCCTGTGGCAGCTTGTACCACACTGCTCCCAATGTTTTCAAAGTCTGGAAAACAAACAATTTCTTTCATCCTACAATTCAGGGAGGGTCCTAGGTCTGGTAGGACAGGCTGCAACATGTCTCAGGGCTTATGTTGTATGGTTCTCCGTCTCTACAGAGATCTGTAAATGCAGATAAACAATTTCTTTTCGTGCTACCTCTAGGGCCTCTGTTTAAAAGATGGGCTTTCACCTCCTTGACTCTGGGGTTCATGGCAGGCCAGCCAGTCCATTCAAGCTTTCTGAGTTTTTGAAGGACCCGTTATGGACCCAGAGCAGAAATAACACTGTGAGCAAATCCCAAACCCCAAGTTTCTGGCTCTACCCTCTCCCACCTTCCAGCTCTAAGTGGCCTCTGTCCATTGCCTGGGGAACACACTGAGGCCTTAGTGTGACATCAGCAGCTACCTTTCTGTGGTTTCTCTTTTCTGCACAATGAACCCCTGGTCTGCCTCTAGAGATCTCTCCACAACAGGGAATCCCTGGGCCCTTTCTCTTCAATGATTTCTTCTTCATCTCTGTACTGCCTAAAATTTCCTCCACCTCAGTTAGTCCTACCTTGTTCCCCACATTCCCAAATCTGGGCTTCTCCACCTGACCATGGACAAGCCCAGATCAATGTCCCATCTCTGACTCTGGCCAAGTGTGAAGCTTTGGAGTGGCACTTGCTGTAGAGGCAGCTCCAGCTTCAGTTGGGTTTGTCAGCTATTATCCAGAGACCTCTGTAGATGCAGAGAACCATACAACATAAGCCCTGAGACATGTTGCAGCCTGTCCCACCAGACCCAGGACCCTCCCTGATTGGGGAAGCCCATTTCAGTCCTCAGGAAGGAGGTAGCATTCTCCTGGGGCATGCCAAGATGCTACTGGAGTTCCACCTCCAAAAGCAGTTGAAACAGCAGGTTGATTTACCACTGCTAGGGTCTGTCCTGAAAGATCTAGTAGTCTATTCAGTTGTTCCTGTCCCCTGCTGAGGAGCAACCCCTGCCCTGGAGCAGCACATCCCTGACCTGTGTGAGTATCCCCCAGCCTGCAGCTCCAGAGACTAGTGGGGATAGTGACCTGTACTGATTCATTGTGGCAGCAGGGCCAGTCCACAGTTGCTTGCTTAGGCCAAGGCAATGTTGCAGAGCCACACAGACTACAAATGCGGGAAATAACTGCTAGGGCATCGTCCTGGCCCACATCTATAGTTGTTGGGACTGCAAATCACTGGCTCTGCAGCATTCCTGGGGCCTTGGCAGCAACTTGGTTACCCTGTCCTATAGAAAGCAAACCCCTAATCAAGGAGGAAGCAATCAGACCCTACACAGAGCAGGATGGGACACCCTGAATACAGACAGGCCTTGACCATATGCTGTTATTGATGACCCTGAGCTGCCTGGGCTCTGTCCCAGGGAACCACTGAGAGACTGGAGACAAGTTTTGGTCTTCCTGTCAGGGCTGCTTGCTCTCTATTATGTGGCTCTCTCCAAAGTCATAGCCCCAGAAATCACTAGCCAATCTGTAATTACAGAGGTGGGACCTGGGCCCATCAGAGGCTCTGACTCAATCTCATCTGAAGAACAATGTAAAAGTCCTGAGCCATGCTTTCAAGATGCCAGTGAGACTTGTACAGACAGTGTACAAGTGTTCCACGTTGAAGTACAAGTGAATGGAGATAGTGCCTCTAGAGAGCCCGACAGATCCTGACAACCCCTAATCACTCAAGGCACCCACCTTAGCCAAACTAAATTCCTACCTGAAAAAGAAATTCCCAGAGATATATTTGGGAAGTCTCATAAAGACAAAGGAGTCCAAGTAACAAATTGTGGCCACCCCAAAGAATATTTCCACCTAGGGGTCCTTTAGGAGTCTAAACAACCAGGAACTCCCTATCCCACCAGGCATCTCATGTGACCCAGATCCAGAAAGGTCTGCCTAAAAGAACAGCTTGCAATTGAGCTAAAGGCAGTGCAGCAGAGGCAAAAGCAACCTAGTTCTGGAGCAGTGCTCCATGGTTCTTCTGCCCACTGGGCCTTTGAGTTCTCACAACCCAGTGGTGACATGACAGAGGCCCAGGTACTTTGTGTTCAGCTGGAGGCCAGAGTGAACAACCCAGCCTGGAAGAACCCTGGGCCCCTTGGTCCAGGCCTTTGCAAAGGTAAGGACAATTCCCTACCCCAGCAGAGGAAAGAGAGGATCAGTGAAATTAAAAGCAGCAGGGAATCACAGTTAAGGGGGTGTGGTATTCGGGCTCTCCCCAACCAGAGAGAATATCCACTTTACTGAGGTTCAGGGGACAGCAGGGGTAGTTCTAAGCAGAACCCCAGAGCCCCTGACTAGCTAAATGTTTCTCCAGAATCTTCCTCAGGTAGAATTTTAGGTTAGCCATGATTGTTGTCTTGAGTGAACAGAAACTAGCAAGGATCTGTCTGGATCTGTAAAGCCACCATCTCTAACCTCTCAGCTTGCTATTCCATGCCAGTACCTTCATCAATTTCTCCCTCACCTTGAGGTCCCAGAGCATCCTCCAGGATTACCCGGGGCAAAATGACCAGATAAGAATGGTCTGCAAGGCTGTTAGAGTAAGCTGAATGACCTTATCTAAACAAGGATTCCTGAGAAAGCCTAACTGGGGGTGCTCAAGCTTTAAAGGGCCAGACCTTACAGGGCCAACTTAGTGGGCCATCATTTGCTGGGCCAAATTTTGCACGTCCACTATTTGAAGGGGCCACATTTTTTAGATCCAAACTTTTCACGCTCAAATGTTTCAGAGCCATGACTTCATAGGGTAACACTTGGCAGTGCCAAACTTTGCAAGGCCACACTTCCCAGGACCAAGAATTGCAGGGTCTGATAAGGGAAGCCCATGTTCACATGAGCTCCACCCTTCTAGAAGCTCCAGGAGTTGGCTTGGGAGATGAGATGAAGCTCTTTTTGCACTGGATTAACCCTGAAATGAAAAGTCAAAGACCTGAAGAATCCATTCTCTACTCTAAGGCTGAGACAGTTACCAAAGCCAGAACAAAAAAGGTTCAGAAATGTCCAACCCCCACCAAAGACCCTGTGGGGGAAGCTAACTTGAAGAAGACAGCAAAGGACCAGGAGGCCCAGCTTCCCCCTACTGAGGATGAGGGCCTGACCTTCTGCGACGCCCCCCAGTGCCTAGAAAATCAGCTCTAGCAACACTCCCTTCAGTCCAGCCAATACTGAGTCCTGTACCACTCCCACAACGGCTCCGAACTCTGTCCTCAGCTGACTTATGCCACTCAACCAGGAAATCTATCCCAGGCCTCAACTCTCACATCAGCAAAAGGCACTGGTTTATATAAGGAGAATACCCATTCCAAGCAAAAGGAGTTCATAGGTTCCCAAACCTCTGAATTCCCCCTGAAAAAGACTGTCATTGCCATTTCCATTAACATGAAGGTGGCGCAGGGCATTCTCCAAATATACTCTATACCTCTAAGCAAAAAGCCACCTGTTCATGCCTCTTTATTTTCAATGTGCTATGTGGTAGAGACAGTAGAGGAGGTAGAAAGTACTTCCCATGTGGTATAGGAGTTTAAATCCATATTTCATTTCAGATGGGTCTCCGTTCCATAGGACTCCCTCCAGCCCCACACTGGACTGTGGATAAAGGGCCTTGAGCAGAGAAGGAAGGCCCTTGTTTAAAGTGCATTGAAGGTAAAGGTCAGGGTAGAATTCTATCATGGTTTTCCTTGGTGAGCTTGGGCCCAGAGGAGCAATATGGACATGAAGATAGTATGCCCATAATCTGGAGTGAAGGTTTTTAAGAGTGCTGCAGCGCTCCCTCCTTGAGGAGTTACTTTCGTGTTTATCAGAAGCACACAGCTAATATGACAGATGTCAAAAAAAAAATGATAGAATCTCCCCTGTCTTTTCCTTGTTGTTATTGAGATCTTTAAGAGCAACTTATTTGGGAACCTGCTATAGTTCTGTTGCCTGTTCTAACCTCCACTGCCTTTCAGCTGCATAGATGAATCCCTCCTACAGTGAAGGTTAGTTGATGAGGAGACCCCAAAAAGGATCACGACAAAAAATGATGTTGAACTGAGTCTTGCATTCACAATTCAAATATTCAAGGACTTACTATGTGCCAGCCCCTATGCCAGACACTAGGGATACAACAGTGAACAATATACAATCACTTCTGTCATGGAGCTCATGGATTCTGGGATAGACAATCATATAAAAATCATAAGCTATATGATAAGAGCTGGTTAGAGGAAATAGGTGAAAATACATAGGAGGATATTTAATCTAGTTTTGGGGGATGTTAACATAAATTTTCCTGGAAGAGGCGATATATAGGATGAGTTTCGAAGGATGAGTCAGAGTTAGCCAGGCAGGAGGTGGGGAGTAGAGAGGCTTCCCCACATAGAGAAAACAACAGGAGCAAAAACATGGTGTCAAACAGATGGCATGCTGTGTCAGAGTACAGCGACTCACTGGGGAAACCCTAGTATAATTTAAAAAGTACGCTACAATGTTTGAAGGATCAGAATGAGGTTGCCCAGCTGGAGAAGAGATGGAATCACTCATTCATTCTTTCATTCCTTTAACAATATTTAGTACCTACTATACGCCAGACACGTTTATACTGGGATTATAGCAGTGAACAAAAGAGGGGGAAAAAAATCTGCTCCCAAGGAGCTTACATTGGGAATGTGCTAGGGAGGTAGACAAAAGAAGCACAGGAAAAAATATAGCATGTAGAAGGTGACCAGAGATATGCAAAAAATTAGGGTAAGAGGGTTAGGGAAGACTTAAGTGGGGTATAGTTTTAAACAGGGAGTTCATGTCAGGTATCACTAAGAAATTAATGTGTGAGCAAGGATTAGATGGAGATGAGAGAGTAAACCACATGAATTACTGAAGAAAAGTATTCCAGTCAGAAATTATAGCTAATGCAGATTTCTGGAGGCTAGAGCATGCCTAGCCTGTTAGAAGGAGCAAGAAGGCCAGTGATGGATGGATGCAGATGTCGGGGGTGTGGCTGAAGCCCTCCGCCTCCCACTGCCCAGGTTTGGAAGCCCAGGGTGTTTCTGGTAGTGGTTTGGTGGTCATTGCTGGGCTGGTTGTGGATGTTAGGGGGTCATGGCTGAGGCCCTTGGCCCCTCACTGCCCTGGCTAGGGAGCCTGGGTGCTTCCGGTGGCAGCCTGGTGGTTATGGCTCAGCTGGGTGCAGTCATGGGGGGTGGGGTTTGGTGGTGTTAGACCTTTACTGGTTAATATCAAACTTTGTCTCTGATCTGTGGGTATTTTGTTTTTTCTTTCAGTTCTGTGTTGGATTCTTTGCTGTTCTCACCACTTAAACTCTGCACTGGAACTAATTTGTTGTCCTTTTTTTACTTCTAAAATGAGGAAACTTCCTAAGGTGTGGAGTATACATAAAGCAAATGTATTTCACAGGGTCTGGTTTTCCCAAGCCCTGCAGTTTCAGGTTTAGCCTAATTTCTTAAAAGTACATATAAAATGCTAACCTTGCAAAAGACATGAAATTTTTCCCCAGGCTAGTCTCTGTGGTAAGATAAAGAACTGTAGCACAGCAAGGTTGCTGGCTCAAAGGACAGACAGGTTACTGATTGATATGTATAGATACTGGGAAATTGCGGTAAGGAGAGAGAATGTTTGCTAAGATCAAGCTTTTGTTGGTGGATCGACTTAACTTCTTGCAAATTTCATTACAGTATGTCACCTTGCTTGTTTTGCTGAATGTTATCAGCTTCTATTGTTAAACTTGTTAAACTATACTTAGTAAAAACCCCACCTATGTTCTCTTCCTGTAACTTCCTGGTCTGGAGAATAAATGCAAGAAGAGAACCCTAATTCGGGGTTAATTTCTCAAATAGAAGGAATGCCTCTCTCTTGAGGGTTCTGGGAGATTAACCCCTTCAGGGCTTCTCACTGCTCAGAAGAGATGGGCTTTGAGTAATCCTTTGTAGCTCCATCACCCAGGGGAAAAGGGGTGACAAATCTGTGGGAGGCAAAGCAACACTAAGGGAGCCAGCATTTGAGCCCTGTAGTTGAGCTAAAATGCTTCTTTGCTGCTGATTCTTTGGGGAAACTTTTTCTGCAGCTCAGGTTTTAATTGTTGACCTTGTAAGCACTTCCTGGTCTTGTGAGGTCTGGTACAACTAGGTTGGGTAGAAACTCTGGTCTGGGCCTGAGTCTTTTTGGCAAACTGCACCCCGTGTGGTTCTATATTCCTGACCAGTCTACATTGAGTGGGCCTGTGCTGATTGGAGGGCAGATCGTCTGTCCATGCTGTGCCCAGTGTTCCTCTGGTGGTCCATCTTCCCCCTGCCTGCACTCCAAACTCTTCCCATGGGATGGGCCATTTGCCGGTCCCTTGCAATGACTCACTGCCCTCTGAGTGGCTCCTCACTCCTATGTGGGTCCACAGGAACCCTGTCAGTGGTCTTGCTGGCCTGGGGGCCACCAAGGCCCTCTTCTCCCCTGCTGCCTCCAAGCAACTTCATATGAAGGGCACAGCTGTGGCTTTTGCCAGCTCTTGCTCCATGTACTCACCAGGGCCAGCCTTGAAGCAGCTGAGGCTAAAAATGGTGGGAATGATCCTTTCTTTCTCTCATTGTGCCTTCTCCTGCCTTCATGAACTCCGTAGGTCTCTCCTCCTCTTCCCCTGAGCTCTAGCAGCCCCAGCTTGGCTGTCCTTGCTTTTTCATAGTTGTAAATTGGTTGATTTGTGGGAGAGAGTGACACTGGGGACCATCTATCCTGCCACCTTGACCAGAAGTTCCCATTCTAGCCATTTTTAAGTGTCAAATTCAGTGGCATTAAGTACATTCACAAAGTTGTATGAACATCACCACTATTTATTTCTAAGACTTTTCCATCATCCCAAACAGAAACTCTATACCTATTAAACAATAACTCCCCTTTTCACCCCTCCCCAAACTCAGACCCTGGTAACCTCTATTCCACTTTGTCTCTATGAATTTGCCTATTCTAGGTACCTCATATAAGTGAAATTATGCAACATTTGTCCTTTTGCATCTATCTGGCTTATTTTGCTTAGCATAATGTTTTCAAGGTTTATCTGGTAGCATGTGTCAGAATTTCATTCCTTTCATGGATAAATAATATTCCATTGTATGTATATATCACATTTTGTTTATCCTTTCATCTGTTGACATACAGTTGGGTGGTTTCCAGCTTTTGGCTATCGTGAATAACACTACTATAAACTTTGGTGTGCAAGTATCTGTTTGAGTCCCTGCTTTCTTTTCCTCTGGGTATATATGTAGGAGCAAAATTGCTGGAGCATTATGGTAATTCAATGTTTATCTTTTAGAGAAACCACCAAACTGTTTTCCACAGCAGCTACACCATTTTACATTCCAACCAGCAATGCACCAGGGTTGCAATTTCTCCTCATCCTTGAGAACACTTATTTTATTTTTGTTAACAGTTTTGGTTTTTTTTGCAGCTGACCAGTATGGGAATCCAAACCCTTGACCTTGGTGTTATCAGCACCATGCTCTAATGAACTGAGCTAACTGGCCAGCCCCTCTTATTTTTTAATAATAGCCATTCTAGTGGGTATGAAGTGATATCTCATTGTGATTTTGATTTGCATTTCTCTAATGACTAGTGATGTTGACCATCTTTTCATGTGCTTATTGGCCATTTGTATACCTTCTTTGGAGAAATGTCTATTCAAGTCCATTGCACATTTTTGAATTGGGCTTTTTGTTTTTTGTTGTTGACTACTGATCTTTTTACTGTCTCCATAGTTTTGTCCTTTCCAGAATATCATAGAGTTGGAATCATTCAGTATGTAGCCTTTTCAGATTGACTTCTTTCACTTGTAATACTTGTATATATTTAAGGTTCCTCCATATCTTTTCACAGCTTGATACTTCGTTTCCTTTTAATGCTGAGTGATATTCCATTGTATGGATATACCACAGTTTGTTTATCCATTCATCTACTGAAAGACATCTTGGTTGATTCTAAGTTTTGGCAATCATGAATAAAGCTGTTATAAACATCTGTGTGCAGGTTTTTGTGTAGACATAAGTTTTCGATTCATTTGAGTAAATACCAAGAAGCACATTTGCTGGATTATATGGCAAGAGTATATTTAGTTTTGTAGAAAATTGCCAAACTGTCTTCCAAAGTGGTTGTCCAGTTTT